AGTGCATTATTACCACATGCATAAAATACATATTGAAGTACCCCACCGAAGAAAAGCTAAGTGCTTTATGAAAAGCAAGTTGCAGAAAATGACACCCTGTGCCCTGGATCACACTGTAAAGAGACATTTGCCATCCGAAGCCAAAAGAAATTACACTGTGCTTGAGAGCTATTTCAGTTTATTTATAATAAGACAATTCTCCTTCCCTTGGAACAAGAGGCCAGACAGAAAAAACACTGACATGGCCCAAGTGTGTGAAGCTTCCTGCCAGCTACATGAAAGCAGGATACCTCAGAGCTTCATGTAGCTGTCTCCAACTTTTACATTTCAATTCATTCATTCATCAGGGAAAGCGGTTCCTAAAAAGTCAATCATGTCAAAACATGTTTAATTCTAATCCTAGACAGTGTTTGCACAGACTAGTGACTTAGCTTTACGACTCCACAAAAATCAGATTTGGAGCGTAGGTTTTTTCTTTCCCAACTATTACTATAGAAAAAAGATTTTATGGATTCAAGAAACAAATCTGAAGTGTGACTGGTATTGCATGGGTACTGTCAAGAAGTACAGATTTGGCAAAAGATGTAGCCAGGCTATTAACATCAAATATCTTGTTTTGATAAAATACACTATGTTCAATTATATGAGAGGAAAATGTTGCTAGAACACAGCTACCTGGCATATATTGTATTTAAATGCCATAATTTCATATTAACGTCTGTGCAGACTCTTTCCTTTATGCCTGTAAGTGTGCTGCTTTAATAAATGCTAGGACACTTTGTTAAGCACATCAATTACTTCCCTTCTGAGAATTTTCTTAGTTAATTGGAAACAGACTTTCAGACATATTTACAGTTTTCAGTGACATTCTCCACCCACCCACCCCCAAGCTCTTCTGAATTAAGGAAACGGGAATTAAAATAAAGATTCTGCAAAGTGACCCTCAAGCCTCAGCCTGTCTCGGCAAGGTCTGGAAAGGAAGAACAGAAGCAGCTTCATGGGCCGAGGGGGCCGCACCTGATGCCTCCTCGCACCTCTCGCGCCCGCAGCACCCGGCGGTCCAAAAGGAAAGAAACTACCACCTACTGCTTAATGAAGGAAACCCTGAGATTTCCAAGGGGACAAAGAGAGGGAAACTACTGACCTCAGTATTTTGGCAAATAAAGCACACAACCTAAGTCCTAGGCAAAATCTAAGAACAGCTCTTTGATGAAAACTTTTTAAAACTATGATCATGTTTTTATTCTATATACACACACACACTTTCAATAAAAAGACACTTGGGATTCTGGTTTTTATTCCTGCTCTACTAATGCTTACTTGAACTTCACACCAATTAATCCAAACTGTTTTGTGGTCATTCAGCAAAAAAGCAACTCTACAACTCTATTTTCTTGCTCAGATTAGTTTAAAAATACAACACCCCACAGCCATGTATAACTGCCAGTTACCCTTCTAATGGAAAATTTTATTTATCCCATAAAGTTGAGCTGGTTATACGCAATGTGCTAGAATTGGTGATTTTAGGCAGCCGAGTACTTTCACATTCATGAAAAGTATTGATCATTCTTTTATGAGATTTAGCAGTATTAGCAGAAATGAAAGCAATTTCTAATTTGGCAACTTAAACTGTAGCCCATATTAGTACTTGGAGAAGTCTTTTATATACCACCTTACATTACATCCTTAAGTGCTCAATACATTACATGCTTCTAGGGGTTGCTGAAATGCAACTACCTCTCCAGTGACAGAACTGCTTATGGCTAAACTTTGGTGCAACGAAAAACAGTGAATTAATTTAACCTTGGTAGATTTGTTATTTTGCAGTTTGCAAGACACAGAACGCCTTTAAGCAAGCAGGTCTCACTGTATCACTGTATCTCTCTTGCTGAGCTGCATACTTAAGCAACCAAGAGCATCTGAGGTACTACACCTCAGTATAACACTTCATCAGGAATGTCTACAGCTCATTTAAACTCAACTAAATTGATTTTCAATGTGATTTTCAAGCATCTAAATGCACCTAGCACAGCTCGGTATGTTTGTTCTCCCACCTGAAAAGGAGATTGTTCCATGTTTGGGGCTCCACTTTCGCACCACTCTCAATGCCTCAGACTTTCCCTGCTCGAGCTGTTAAGGTCCTTCCCAACGAGGACTAAATCCTCTCTATTTCCCACAATCAATTTTCTATTTAATGCTCTTTAGATTATAATAAAGACCATAGTGGAGTCCTCCTGAAGGATGGGGTTGCAGGGAAGAGGAGGACTGCTCAACCAACACTACTAAAGCCTACGAAAGAACTGCCACTGCATCACCTAATGAAAGATGGTAAGTTGATATTGCTAGTCTATGATTAATTTCAAAAGCAAGTTATTAGTACTAGAGATCATTTAATATTGCTGTTTTCACGCAGAAACCGCAAAACAGGTCACAGAATTGCAAGCAAGATAATTATTTCCATCCCTTCCTACAGGCGCGTTAAAATGAATAATGTAGGCCATTTGAAATCATCTGCAAAGGGCTATAAAAATAAGTTCCTTATACACTGAGATCCAGGCACATGCAAGTACTATTGAAACAAGCAGAGTGGAAAACAAAGATGTTATCAGTGTTTGCTAAGTCCAGAAGACAAATAAAACATTTGAAAGCAGAAGTCCAACACCAAAGTGCCAATTATTTGGCATACTGGCAGAACAAAATGGCCTGCAGAGAAGAAATAAAACTAAATTTTAACTTATGAAAGCAGTATGTCCAGAAACAATTTACTTATATAATAACAGCAAACTGAAACACATATCCACAAGCTACCTTTTCTGCCTCAATTCCACAAACCCTTATGTTGAATAAATGGCCCAAATAAGATCGAAGATGTTACTCACTGCAAGCTTTACACCATTAACAGGCAAATGTCAACACTGGCCATCAGCTTCCAGACAGCAATCCTTAGTCACACTTAAAGATATCACCAGTGATGTAAGTATTTCTATCTCTCTCTCTCTTTTTTTTTTTTTTTTAAGAGGGAGGGAGCAGAAAATAAACCAAAGAAAAAGGGCAGAGAAATGATTTTAAGACTATTTTCTCCCTTTTTCAACCAAAGGCTTAGGTGGCTCATTAAACATTTGCTCTGTCATTAACCAACATTTGCCCAGTCAATCAGCTTTACAAATTCACTAAAAAAGCATCTGTTAAAAACTATAATAAACACATAAATAGGTGTTTGAGTGGTAGCAAGCATCAAATAATTAAGATAACTATACGTCTGCCTAAGGGTTAGATTAAAAGTAACAACCTCATTTCACCCACCAAAGCTCCTTCATGAGGTACATTCCCAATTTCCAAGGGCACAGTCCAACTAAATACTTTTAAAAGACAGTTATCTACAAATACACAAGAAAAGACTGCTTGCAAGCTGCTTCCATCACACGTACACACAGACACTGCTCTTTCGGATATACTGTTGCTGCATTCATAACCTGACAGCAGAAAAACCCCACCACGTAAGACTTTCCAAAATAAGCTGGTGACAGTCAACACAGCAGAACCTTTCTCCATACTGTTTGTACCAAAAACACACGGTGCAGCCTCAGTGTTACTGCAGGGAAAGCAAGGTAGCTGCACACCAAACTGCTGACACTACCCAGGACGAAGTTGGCTTCTGCATGTTTGATGTTCTAACTCAAAACAATAAAGCTTCAACAGTTAAATACTGTATTTTGTTTCTTAAAATTGTATTTGATTCAGATAGCTTCATAGAAAAGTAGTACTTTATTAAAAGAAAACCTCCGTCCAAATAACATTATTGAAACAAATGGTGTTTTCCACAAAAGGAAAAGTCACAGACTGTCATTCTATCTAGGCAACTTTACTAACAGAAACCTTCTTAATGCTACTTTTGCTGGATGGTTTCCCAAATTGTGCAAGGCAGCTTAACAAAAGATTAGAGCAGCATCACACTCACCAGGGAATATTTGAGCTCCAGTTTGTTTAATGAAGTTTAAATGAAACCGTGCAACCTCAGCTAAAAATGTCACCCTAACCTGCAGTAACCGTAATAAACCTCTGGTTCATGCAACTGCTGAGAATATTCATTGTCTAATGGTGTTACTTAAACATAATGCTATTTATACAGAATTACAATTCTACTTTTTCCCTCGGCCCTTTTTTTTTTTTTTTTTTAAACTAACAACAGTCCAGTTACCTCCCCAGAGCTGCTGTGCTATTGCCCCATTCCCATTCTGCTCTTCCCCTTGCACACCACGGAGTTATCCCCAGCCATCCTGGAGCCTCCCTTTTAGGATAAAACCATAGCTCACACTACTGGAGCCCAAATATCCCACTGCAGGCTTTTAAATATACATATTCAGCCAGCTATGTAGAATTGGCCTGAATTTTGGAGGAGAAATGATAGGAATAGGAAGTGCAGGGAAACTCTCTCTGAAAGTATAAACTGCTTTTATGGAGCAGTCTAATGTTAGATACCTGTATATGAGACATTATATCTTACATACTATTCAAAAAAGGAAGGCACAGCACAGCTGAAGATACTGCTCTCCTCATCCCAGAGCACCAAAAGCCTCATAAAATCTTTATATATTTAAACCTCCAACACTTCATTTTTTTTCATGCTGTCAAATTAAATATTTATTCCTGTTTACAGGTGACTATTAAAAAAAGAAAGAAAAAATCTAGGCAGCGGAACACAGCATATCAGCAGTGGTGAAAAAAAACAAAAACAAAAAAAAACAGAAAATTGCATACTACATAAGCACAAGGAAAAAGCAGAGGATAAAAAGTTCCATTAAGGTGAGAGGTCAAGAAACTTTGAGACAATCTGACTAAAGTA